TTTATACTTACACTAGAGGCAGACCGAGACTTTGTCTCCATTAAATTTTAGATTTACCCCTGGAACCTAACACTTTCATGTTCTAGATCTCTTTCCCGGTTATAATTTGTCTAAGTGCAAAATTTCTTTCAATATCTGTTAAGCTTTTTTTGTTTGATTGGGTGTAACACACATACAAACTTTCACATTACCGTATAAGTAGGAAAAGGATTTATTTATACTTTATTGCAAACAAACAGCAAATGGCGGACTTAATGCATTCTCTACCAGTCGACCAGTAAGAGGGTGAGAAAAGCTTTTTGTGTTTTAACCGGTTTCAAGTAAAATAGGAAGAGGAGAAGAATAAATAACCAATTTATTTGTAGTGTTATACATGTACCACTTAATCAGGCTCTTAAGATGGGATACCACAGAAATCGAGTGAACTCTTCAAATATTATAGGCACATGTTTCGTCATAGATATTAACGGGTTTTTTTTTTTTTTTATAATTAGGTCCGACAAATCACTCCACCCCACCTGATGTTAAGTGAAGGTGAAGTCCAGACGCGAAGATAGCTGATACAGCAGTTCTACCTGCCACACCAGCCATCCTCACCCTGCCGGCCTGCATGTTGCTTCTTCACGCCTCTTTTAGAGGATCCCAGGATTGTTACCATGTACCTTGTTTTTTATGAGTCTCCGATATTTCGGCACTGTTGCAAGCGCCATGATCACGGAGTAACAGAAATAATGCGGGTAGATGTTATTGGCAGACATATCGGTCTACCCTCTGATGTCGTCTTTTACTGCGTTCGATACTACCACTACCACTGGTCACATTCTCACTATTCACTCGCATTTGTTCCCGGCACACAATACTCACAGTATCAGATCGCGGAACGACACTTTTTTGATTTTTGCGGTTTTTACACATACGAACCACTGGATTCCACACACTAGACAATTTAAATATCGGAGACTCATAAAAAACGAGGTACATGGTAACAATCCCGTTAATATCTATAATGTTAGTGACCATGAAAGTTTAAAACAATATAATATTTTTCGTTACTTAGTTATCATTATAGCAACTAATAATAATATATATTTTTTTGGTTACAATTGCAAGTTAGTGTCGCCGCACACGGGCCACTGGCCACAACCACAAAACGCCGCCACCGGCATATTTGTTGTAGTTTTCATACATTTTATATGGACTCGCCACACACGGTACGCCGGTGGCCGCCACACGGACATGCTACAAATCGTCGTTGCTCGCTTCTTGTGGCCCGCACCGGCCTATTAATGTGCCGATACAAAACGCCGCCACACGTCACTCGCGCGATTCCCCACCCATCTCTCCCTTACCTTAGGCGGCCGCTGTCGCGCGCTTCAGCCACTTTAGTAGCCGCTTCTAGCTTCTCGTGGCGGCGTTTGTGGCTGTGGCGTGGGGCCCGTGTGCGGCGACACTAAATCTATTCATTCGCCATCTATCAACCTATTAATGTCCCCACTGCGGGGGCACAGGCTTTCCTACTACGTGGGCCCAGTGCGGATTGCTTGGTGCTAACGACTGCAGATGCAGCCGAAATCAACAGCTTAACGTGCCTTCCGAAGCACAGAGAAGATAGATAGAAGTAGATTTTTGATCACCCATCCAATGACGAACCACTGCGAAAGTTGCTTAATTTTTTATGATCACAGCCGAACGCGCTAATCACTAGTGCCATCGAGCTCCTCATAGCATATCTATACTACATTGTCATATTTATTATTTTAAATAATAGTTTTTAACCTGTCATGCTGATAACTTCAATCAGAAAGCCAATACGATCATATTATCACTTCGCATTAATATAGTATTTAACTCCACGAAATGATTACAATAATCTCTGTCGAATTCCATTTTCTTGAATACACAGATCTGATTGCGTAAAGGTGTGATCCCACGATGTGTGTTGATGTAGCAGTATCTATAGGTACATGATACGAGGTAAATAGAAAACTCGTACAATATGATACGAGATTTAAACAATGCTGACTGTTTGTGTCATGTACACAAACCAAAAATATTATCAAAAAGTAAATTAATGTCCAATCCACAAAGGATCGTCCCAGATTCATTATCATCATCAGCCTATTAATGTCCCCACTGCTGTGGCACAGGCCTTCCCTATGGATGGAATAGGGAGATTGGGCCATGATCTACCACGCGGGCCCAGTGCGGATTGGTGGGTGCTAACGACTGCAGATACAGCCGGGACCAACTTAACGTGCCTTCCGAAGCACGGAGGAGCTCGAGATAGTAATTTTTGGTCACCCATCCAATGACCGACCACTGCGAAAGTTGCTTAAGTTCAACGATCGCAGCCGAACGCGCTAACCACTTGCGCCATCGAGCTCCTCGTTTTAGATTCATTATGCCATCACTAAATGCATCCTTATTCGTATCATCATCATCATCGTATCATGTATAGATACTGCTAAATCTCAAACGTTAGAGTTCTCATATGTTTGGCAACAATGCGCGGCGCGGCCTCGCCCGTGACAACACATTTCGTGGGATCTCACCTTAACACGAACCGCCGGGTTAACAATGTATAACAAAGTTTAACTCCGCTCCTGTTTATGAAAGGTCTACCTAGATTATCCCTTGAATCTGTTGTATAATTTTGTCTATTTAAGCAGTCTTGGGAGGTATATTAATATTCATTAGTTTTGTTCTGTATTTTCAATCCAATTGTTAAGAATACATTTTTTCTATTAATTTATTCTGACCTCCGCGGCTGAGTGGTATGTACGCTGGGTGATTAAATAAAATATAAATATTAACTCACAATACTCAAAATTTGGCAGCAAGTTTTGCACAACAACGAAATTCGTTCAATCGTTTTTTTTTAAATTAATCTTATTGTCATTATTTATATTATGAATGTTCTGTAAATGTTTTCAATGTAAGTAGGTATTTATAAAGGCTAATTAAGGTTTTTCTTTCATTATTCCTCTCTTTACCACAACCTTTGAAAACCTAGCTGCGGCAGATTTCTATATGATCTATTTATATTATATAACATCCATTATACAGTAATCAAAGTAGGACTAGAGGCAATTTCCGATCCCAAATGGAAATAGAATACCGTCCAGACTAACCTTTTGAAATACCGAATCGATGCCACCAAAATGTAACTGAATTTAGGAACTGTATCGTAATGTCACTTAAGCCTCTGGGTGATTTCAGCCTCTTTATTTGCAAACGATCTGAGCGTTGAATATTTATTTACTTATTATAACTTTATTGCAACAATTACAAAATGGACAAAAAGCGGACTTAACGCTAAAAGCATTCTCTGCCAGTCAACCTTCAGAAATACAGAAAGACACGAATGCGGCTTTAGTAAAAAAGGAATTCATTAATTTAAATATATCATAATAGAAAGACTGAAAGGGACTTATGAATGAGTTTGACGTACGTGTGGAAGGCTATCCAGGAGAAGTGTATGAATTTTCTTTTTAAAAATGTGTCACCTATTAGGTGACTTTTTAATGGAGTCTGTTCCAGAGTCATGAAGATTGAAGAGCAAAGGAATCAGACATATAGCCAGAGTGAAAGAGAGGTTGGGATAGAGAATGAGTATCAGTAGAACGAAGTTGAAAGTTATGTTTATCACAAAGATAATTTAGATCTTAAATTTTCTGGAGAGTGGGTTAAAGAGAATGGAATATAGAGTACATAACATTTATTTATTGAATATGTGTGATTTCTAACTCACAATGAATTGTGTCAAATTCGAACTTGGCATTAGGTATGAGGATAATTCTATATTGAAGAAATTACTATTTTGCGATAAGAAAGGGGTCATAGGGCATTGTCCGATGTGTAGGACTATTTTAACAACTCCTTTGCTGATTGTGGCCTACCTCTGCATGCGATTACCAAACAAAGGGAGTTCCCTCAGAAAAAGGTTAAAGTTGCTTCTACAAAAACACTGTCAAACAAATGGTGTTGTACACCATTTGTTTAAACTTAGTTCAGTCCTCGTCTTAGAATACACGCAATTTATACCATTTCAGGGACATACTTTACACGACATTTAGTCACAAAATCAACGAGCAACGCACTCATCTAAAGAAGCTCTCGGACACGATATCTCGGACCTGTTGGGGCTAGTGCGAGGGCGAGTCGCATCCGCTTGAGACACGCGTCAGTGAAGTTTTTAATACAAACATGAAGTATCAAAACAAATATTATTATGTATTATGTGATAATAAGCTATGTAATCATTATCTTTGTGGAAAAATAAACTATTATTATTATTATTCAGCGGAAGGTTGTTAAATTCAACAAAAAATATTAGAATGTTTCTCTCTCTCAACTTAACTGGTAAATAATCTTTATTTTTTTTAAATTTGTAGTGTAGTCTTAGTCTTGGAACTTATTCAAAGTGCAGGCGCGGGCGCGCGGGTCTAGGCGTCTTTATGTTTACAGTAATAGGGCGACTGAGAGACTGAACGTACGCGTGTGTATACGGTTCTAAAACTTCGCGCTACCTACATCAAGACGTGGATGAAGATTTGATTTTATTAATGAAAAATTCATTTTAAAATTGGGAAGCGAATTATGTGAAGAAATCACGATATACATGAAATGAAAAAAGGACGAGAAGAATTGGTAGAATTTAATGTGTACTGTACACTAGAATGTCAATTAATAAATTTGATTATGTACTAAAAAAGGTCTCAACACATTTGATAAATAATAACATAATATAAATAATTATATTGGAGTTTGACTTCTGTACTACTTATTTTGTAATCTAGTTTACCACTATGGTTTTAGCATCAGATCTTCGTAAAAATTTAATAAATCAAGCTTCGTACACGTTTAAAAAGTCATTTATTAATATGTAAATTCTTACCGTATTTATAACAGTTGTCTTAATAAAAAGAACATTACCTATAATGGCACATTTACAAAATATTGATTTGAAAAGAATACTCTACATGACCTGACTAGAATTATGAGATTCTTATTTCTTAATTATTAAAATTGAAACATAACAACATACGTATAAAACTGCAATATATTACAAATTACTATCGAAAGTACCAATGGCTACGTTGGCATCTGCATCCAGCAAATGGCAGTCCTCAAACTCATTGCGTTTCTCTTCAACTTTCTCGAAATTGTTTTTACACAAGAAATCACTGTCGCACACAAAATCATTCCTACTATCTTCAATCATGCCTTCATCAAAACTAGTTTCCCTGAATCGCTTTTCGTTATCACTGTGATAGCTTTGATATCTTTCTATATTGAAATCGGGAGAAATGGTCTGTCCTTCGTTAACACTTTTGCCTAGAATATCATCTGCCTCTATAGCAGTCGCTTGTGCTACTGTTCCCGCTATTTCATTAAAGTTAACTCGACTAGCTTCATTCTTAACATCATATTTTAGTTCAGTCATATCTATATTTTCTCTGTTATCTAAAAGTGGTTTTAAATTCATGAGACTAAAGTTGGGAATCATTCGCGTATCCCATTGAGTTTGTTGTACAGTTTCTGTGGAAGGTTCGAGATCTAGTTGGACATCCTCTCCGATCTTCTTGAAGGTTCCTAGGTTGTACTGTAGTGGTATCGAGAACGATGGTAGTTCCATTTGAGGGTTTTGTCTATTTGGTAGAGCTGATATGTGGATTGCTGGAGCTGGCTGCTTCTTCGAGCTGTAACTGTTCTGGTTGGATGTATCAGAGTGTATGTTTACCATCTGTGAAGATGAAACTGAAACAAATATTATACATATAGTCATTAACATCACAATTTCCAATTTTAATCGTAAGCTACGCGTAAAATTTCGCTCTGGGAAATTGAAGATGTGGTTTATTATAATACCTGTAATATCAATCAAACACCAAGTCTCTCACAAGTTAAGTACCCTTAATTTAAAACACAGTTTTCCTCTATTAAATACTAATTTGTATTCTCTTCTGATGATGTTGAAAATAGTACCGGTAACACTCGTAAAAGAAAAATTCAGCTTAATAAGCAGTATATAACATTTTAGCGTTGTTATTACATTCATCACTATTATTTAGCCATACGACACCCTCTGCTGAGCTTAGGCATCCCACAAGGATCGGTCCTGGGTTGGACATATCCAGTGTCTTCCCGCGACCTTTGATAGATCGTCAGTCCACCTGGTATGGTGCCTGGCCATTGAGCGCCACCATTCGACCTTTCCTCCCCAACGGCCATAAGGTTCTCCTCGCTGTGTCCCACTGCCAGTTCAGCTTAGAAATCCTCCGATTTACTACTTTAGAGGTCATATAATAGATAATGAGAGAATTTCAACCTACAGGTCATGAGCTACCCAGCTACACCACTCACAAACAGACTGTAAAACAGCGGACGCGCCTTAAGTAATAAGGTTCCGATTGCACACTTTGTCTATAGCACCTAAAACAAAGGTGATCTAAAGAAAAGTTTACTAGAAAAAAATCCACGCGGACCAGGCAGCGGACGGGACTCGAACCCGCATCCTTCGCTATCCGGGCGAATGCACTGACCATTATGCTACCACGGCCCTATTAGCCGCGTCGAAATTTTCCTAGCCTTAAGCTGCAAGGCAGCGCCATCTCTTCGCATTGTAGGTAACCCACAATGTCATCACAAAGGTGATGTTTAAATCCTTTGCTTATTTTTCAAAATTTTCCTTACCAGGTATGGTGATGAAGTCCCTCATCTCCAGCGCCAGAGCCGAAGGCGACCTCTCGTCAGGAGATCTGCCTCTACCAGGGTACGACTCGCATCCCACCTTCTGCTGTTTACGCCATTTCGCGCGACGGTTTTGAAACCAGACCTGTGTTAATAACTTGATGTTAGGTGTCAAACTACTTGTTTAGGCCCCTCCCACATTAAACGACCACGACCACGGCCAGTGGCCGCAGCTACCACATTAACTAAAGAAACCATACGAATTTCGCGCGCTTGGCAACGTTTAACTATAATTAAGCTGGTCGTTACTGCTACTGGTCATGGTCGTGCCCACCTATTGCGGGAGGTGCCTTAGCGACTAACCATATTGAAGAATGCACTTATGTTATTAAAAATCCATTTTATTTTATTACTATTATTTTATCGTAATTTCAGGAGCTCGATGGCGCAGGTGGTTAGCGCGTTCGGCTGCGATCGTTGTAGTTAAGCAACTTTCGCAGTGGTCATTGGATGGGTGGCCAAAAATTTCTATCTTGAGTTCCTCCGTGCTTCGGAAAGCACGTTAAGCCGTTGGTCTCGGCTGCATCTGCAATCGTTAGCACCCGCCAATCCGCGCTGGGCCCGCTCCCTCCATATCCATTCCATCCATAGGGAAGGCCTGTGCCCCAGCAGTGGGGACATTAAGAGGCTGATGATGATGATTTTATCGTAGTTGTGTACACTGCAAGCTAAGCGGCTACTTTGATAACTTGAATTGTTTATATAAAGAGTTGTATCTAAGCAAAGCTCTTTTTACCGCTGTTTTATGAATTGGATTTGAAGTTCGTTTATTTACTTACTGATGACCCCATCTCGACTAATAGATTACTATTTTTCAATTAGTTTGTAGACGAGATATAACCTATTCTTCGAACGAATGGAAAAAGCTATTTGTCCGTCCCCTTGGATTGGAATTTCAGCCACCTCTACATTTGGTCTCCAATTGAGTGATTTGAAAACATATTAAGTGTAAAGAAAATTTAATTAGATAAAAATCCACGCGGACCAGGCAGCAGACGGGACTCGAACCCAACCTTTCGCTATCCGGCAAATGCACTGACCATTATGCTACCGCGGCCCTAACGGCCGTGTCGAATTCTTTCTAGCCTTTCTTAAGCTGCAAGGCAGCGCCATCTGTTCGCATTGTAGGTAACCCACAATGTCAAATGAATACCTTTACAAGTATTAAACATTTGAAAGAAGAAATAGCAATAATAGTTTTAATTTTTATTTTTTAAGCATGTAACTGCTCGCTGTTTAAATCTAAAGAAAATATTACTTAGCGAAGGGTGCGGGTTCGAGTCCCATCTGCTGCCTGGTCCGCGTGGATTTTTTTCTAATAAAAATTTCTTTACATTTACCTATCGAGCAGTTACATCCTTAAAAAATAAAAATTATAACTACACATATAAAAGTGTAATTTTATCACTTCACGTGAAATCATAGCAATAAATATTTGTTTCATAGGTTTTTACGCACATCACTCATTAAATAAAACTAGTTTTAACGGGTTAATGCACGAAACTTTATTTATTTATTGACGTTTCGCAGCCTTTTCAGGTCTGCATCGTAAGAATAAATAAATAAAGTTTCATGCATTAACCCGTTAAAACTAGTTTTATTTAATTTGCCTGAGACACCTGGGTAACGTGATAGTCATTCTATCTTAGTCTAACGAAATTCTAGATCTACGATTTAATAAAACCGGTTTATTGTGAATTCGCCTTAAATCCAGTTGTGAATTTAATCAAGAAATCATGGGACTACTACTTACAATTTCAAAGAAAAGAGATTATTAGATTTCCAATAAAACTGTTAGTTATACAGGATCATGTTATTTTCACTTCGACATTCCAACCATTAATTAGTCTCTAGTCTTGATTCTAACTTAATAGCAATTTCAGGTTATTAAATTGAATAATGAATTATATAGAGAGGCAATCATTACCAAGCCGTCACGCAAATACCAACAACTTGTCTACGTTGAAAATAAACTTGATTTTTCATAATGGATTCAATAAATATATTCCAATTTAATGAATAAATCTAATAAGAATGATTTTCACAGCTCCATAGATTCGTGGAAAACAAATTTACTAAATTATTTATTAAAGAAACTTTGAAAATACTTAAAACGATATTTGAAATGGTAGTATATAGTAATTTTAACAAGAACGCTATGTTATGAAGTCTAGGTCCCTTTACTCCATATTATCTCAAGGACCGTTTTAATTTCCTGCATGATACACATGCTCGTGTTTTGAGATCGACAGAGTATTTAACACTCGAGATTCAAATGCACTCTACGAAATTTATGGACAAGTCATTTGTAGTTCAGGCTGCTCGTTTGTGGAATGCCTTGCCAGAAACAATAAGAGGTGCTAAAACATTAGCTTGTTTTAAAAAAATGTTAAAAGAACATTACTTAACACTTTAGCAGGTCGTCACAATATCCAAAGTATGATTAAAGTGTTAGTGTGTTTATATATATTATGTTTATGTATTTGTATTTTATTTTTTTGTTGTACATAATTATTAATGAGTGTTATTAATGGTAGTTGCACTTTAAATGACACCATCTACTTCCCAGTCCTTATATAAAAGTTCAGTTAAGATACGGTTACCTGGAAGAAATTGCTTCTTAGCGATAAGGCCGCCGTTTGTACTATTATGTAATAGTTTTAATTAATTGTCCTTTGAAATATCATGGTGTACAATAAAATGATCATTCATTCATTCATTCATTCTAATTGATATGACTCGATTTAAATTAACTTTAGCTCACCTGCACTCTTGCTTCAGTAAGATCTATCCTCATAGCTAACTCCTCTCTGAAGAATACATCAGGGTAGTGAGTTTTATGAAATGCAGCCTCCAGTTGCTCCAACTGGACATTGGAAAAGGTGGTCCTAAAACGAAAAGAAATGGTCATAGACAAATCAACAGAATTTCTGATGCCGTCGCAACTGTTGTACCAGCTATCTTCGCGCCTGGGCTCTATCAACACTTAACATCAAGTGGGGTAGAGTCATATGCCTACCTAGCTATGAAAAAATGTGTGCACGAACCACACATCTGAAGTGAAATTTCTTATCTTAAATAAACTAACATAAGGCGGTGCATAAGGCATAGGGGAATGAAGCAGCGAACGTATCACTCATATAGACGTACCTAGTCAGGTCATAAATTCTGTCACATGTTTAATGTTAAATAATTTAAACAAGTTTATTTATTATGAATGATAATCACGGAGGTCATTTTGAATAAACTTTATTGTCATAAGAATCTATGTTTTGTTAAGTTCATTTTGGTATATAAATGGTTACATAAGGAATAAACTTGTTTCAATTATTTTATATTAAACATGTGACAGAATTTATGACCTGACTAGGTATATAAGTATATTTATATAGAAGTATATATTAAACATCCATGACTGGAGTACAAATGCTCGTATTCATCACACATACATCAGTCCCCACCGGGATTCGAACCCGGGACCTCTCGAGTAGGCGACACCATGAAACCCGGCGTACAAACCACTCGGCCACGGAGGTCGTAAAACGTATAACACAAGGTTGATGAAGTTATAATAAAAAAAAACTGTATAAAATTGGCGTGGCTTTATGGAACCATGACGCAAATGAAATTTTGAAAATCATTAAAAGATAGTCCCTTCTAGTGTTGTAAGAGACTCGAGTCTTGGAGTCTTATTTAATAAAACTTGAACTATTTTTGAAGACTCGAGTCTTATATATAAAACTTAGAGCTCAAGTCCTTCAGAATTTGGAGTATTTGTAAAAAGACTTGAGTCCTGCCAAAAAGAACTCAAACACCGAGTCTTTTTAAAAGAACTCATGACTGAGTCTTCTAAATCCATGGCTGTATAGTTTAGCAATAAAATATCAATTATTACAATTGGTATAGATTTATTATAAATATAATGTGAGTAATTTATCTGTTGTGTAAATCAATAGTACAAACTTTACTGAGTTTGGGCTAGATGGCGCTGTGTGCTTCTCCCAACATTTTATTACTTTCCATATATGTATAGTAATAAATAAAATAAATATATAAAAACATAATATACATTATTTTAAATAAACATATAGCCATAGCGCTATGTAAATTGTTCCAGAATATTTATTTATCTTATTTGATTTATTATAAGTAGACGGTATTATGTGTGTTTATCATTTTATTGAGACGTTTTTACTCGCTTTTTGATTTAGCAAATCGTCAGTCTTCAGGTGGATAATTTTAATTAGATTGTTTGCGTTAAAATCAATTTCTTTGGTACAATTTTTTATTGGGTGATTTAGTTTCAACCAGGAAATAAATATGCATGACGATAAAAAAAATTGGATAATATAATAACACCAACTCAACTCGACTCGTCTAGCTCAAAGAACTTAAAAGACTCGAAAGGACTCGGAAGACTCAGACGACTCAAAGGACTTGGACTTATGTGACTAACGAGTCCTGGTCTTGAAAAGAAATTCAGGTCTCGAAATGAAGACTAAAAGACTCAAGTTTCTTACAACTCTAGTCCTTTGTTGGTTAGGATACGAACCCGGGCTACCGCGTCGCAGGTGAGCTATCTGCCACTGAACCACCGATGCTTATTGATAAGGTCTCATTTTTCTAATAGTAATTAAAAATGTAATATGAAATGCTTAAGATGAAAAAAAAATGTAACGATGTAATAAAAGATTTACTTTAATAAGTAAATGTATTTTGCAATGGTAGGTAATGTAATTCTATCTGTGACAGTAATTATTATGTAATTTTCGCATTAAAAGCTATATTAAGTACTTGTTTACCTGTATCGTCTTTGTTTCCGCTTAGGAAGATCACCTTTGGAATCTGAAAAATAAAAAAATACATAATTTTCAGACTTATAATTTGTATTGATAGAACTGCAAGACTATACTTATATATCAACTAGCTAACCCAGCGAACTTCGTACCGCCCTAAAAAAAGAGGGGTTGTCCAGCGGACAAAATTGTGAATCTAAACCATTCTCAGCTCCCCTTGAACACACACAAAAAATTTCATCAAAATCGGTCCAGTCGTTTAAGAGAAGTTCAGTGACATACACACTCACAGAAGAATTATATATATAAAGATTGGCCGTCGCGGCCAATTGCCGTGCTGTTTACAATATATCTCTTTGATAAGGTTTTTTATCCGTCATCCTAATACCCTTACAGTGCTTACTTTGTGGCAAGGCTTGGGCTAGGCTAATTGGTGTGAGTGTTAGAAATATTAAGATTATCATATTTTGACGTGACAACGTCTTAAATTAGGTTGCGGCTGGGAGTCACTTATGAAAAAGTGTAACGCTCGGTAACGTTACGATGAGTCTCTCGTGTTAAGTTTAAGTTTACATGTACAATGTTTTAGTAAACAAAATATATTTCTATAGTTAAAATTTGTGCAATTCTTATTTTCATTCAATTCCTTGTTCCTATTGTGCAATTTAATTATATTCATATCAATAAATATTCTACCGAGAAAAAGACGTTGTCACGTAAAATCTTCGCCCGTAAAACCGACTTTACAGGCAACCATTTTTTTAATTTATGCATTTAACTGCTAGACGTAACTGCCTAATCAGCCTTTGACCTCGACCTTTTTTGCACGTTTTTGTCGTACGTGATCCACCTTCATCACCAGTTATCAGCTTCTTCAAAAATGGTTCGGTTTTTGCTGCAAGATGTTTCAATCTAATGAAAATTGTACTAGAAAAAAATCCACAGCTACCAGGTTTCAGACGGGATTTGAACTTGCATCTTCCACTTTTCGGACGGACAATTATTCAGGACAAAAAACAGTGGTACAAAATTGAGGTAGACTAATTTTTTTTTCTTCGTTTATCAGGTAGATTATCAAAAAGTATTGGACAAGTATAAAGATATATTGATTTGGAAAGTCGCATGACGTCACGTTTTGGTACAATTTTCATTTAAAAGTGACGTCACGAGCCCCTACTCCCAAACTTTGACGCGCTAGCTTTGTCATTTTTTGGTTGATTGCCCAAAGAAAAAATACGTGTTTATTATTTTTTGTTCATCTAGAATTTCGTTTACTGTACCCCGTCATCACCCCTATTCTCATTTGACAAACAGTATTGGTGTACAAACGTTCACACGCACGTTAGTACACATTTGACCATGACATTTCGCACTCGCAAACTATTCGAATTCGATATAGGTTCGTGCTAAAGGTACCGGTGGCTCTAGGCCGCTCTCCAAGTCACCACGCGTAGTATCTTCACCGCGCTTCCCCCGGTGTGTGCTGCGCCTTGCTGGATATTATTTATTGAAACTTGCCGTAAAAGACAAACTTTGCTCAATTATAATGTTTGTGAGTACATTATCATTTACTTGATTTGGGTGAGTACTCCTCGTCTTCTTCATACTGCTGGTGGTCTACCGTCTCCTCGGATGCCTCGGTGTTGGTGAACGTTTCAGCTGGCTCTCCTTCGGGACGCTCGCAGAGAACCGAACCTGTGCCCAACCTGAAACAGGATATAAGAGAAATTATTATAGTTTTATGAGACAAAGATAGCAAGTTCATAACTTTGCACAGAAATCATGGAAATAAAAAGGTGAAAATATCAATTAACCAAACTTAAACGCATCTCAACCCAAATTCGATCTCATCCCACTTTCAATTCTCGATCCAATCTCCAATACACGACACTCTCTTTTCGATTCAAACTTGAACGCATCTTATTTTTATTTCGTTACAAACTCGAACGCATCTCACTTTCGTCTCGATCCAAACTCAATTTTATCTCACTTTCATATCGATACAAATCCGAATGCATCTCATTTTCAATTTAATTTCGATGGCATCTCATTTTTATTTCGATCTTAACTTGGATGCATCTAACTTTCATCTTAATCCAAACTCGAACGTATCTCACTTTCATCTCGATCCAACTCAATCCAAAATTGAAAATCACTTCTCATTCATCTCGATCAAAAACTCGATCTCACCTCACTTACATCTCGATCTACACTTGATCTCATCTCACTTTTATCTAGACTTAAACTCGGACGCATCTCCCTTTCATCTCGATCCAAACTCGAACGTATCTCACTTTCATCTTGATCCAACGCAACTTTTTTCATCTCAATCCAAGCTTGAAAAACACATCTTACTCATCTCGATCTAAGCTCGATCTGAACCCACTGTCATCTCAATCCAAACTCGATCTCATCCCATTTTTATCTGGATCCAAATTCGATTGCACCTCACTTTCATCACAATCTAAACTCTGGCGGCTCTTATTTTCATCTCGATCCAAACTCATGTCATTCATCGCAAAGGTTCTATTTAATTATGTTAAGACTTTTATCGCTTCTGGTCATAGCCTCGATCAAAATCAAAAATCTTTATATTCGACAGACTTAACAACTTATAACTTTAACAATTCAAATGAAAATCATGCGACACTTGCAACGTAACAAAAGAACATTTCAGTTCACGTTGATTTCAGATGGAGTTTATTTTTAGCTGTACTTGCTTATGCAGCATACTAAATTGTTGTATGAATATTTTGTAGCTCGTAGCTCTCAGCTCGTAGCAACATAGAATTGTAGCGTAGCCCGTAGCAGTCTACATCAAGTCGTAGTCGTTATTTACGTTATGAAACACGCAGGTACTTCTTAAGTTCCGTAAATTTTTTACGAGTCTTAGTAAAATATTTTTTATCATAATTTAACTTAGTAAAATAGTTATTTATCTTTATTTTCGATGTGATAACGTCAAATAAATCGATAAACACCGGCTGCACGCACGAAAAAGTGTGACATCATGTCACGTTGTCACGAGTTTCAACGTTACGCGGTGTGTGTGAGGTGAGGTCGCGGGGTTCCTATAACCTCACTTTGTATACCTATAGCATTGTCAACATTGGCTTATACACAAGAAACTATCGCTGTAGTGGTACTTGTATCTAGTTGTTTGATTTCATGATGAAACAAAACAGAAAGAACGGAAATATAATCTGATAATAACTAAAATATTTTAGTTTTAATTTTTATTTTAAAGCATGTAACTGCTTCATGTTTAAATCCGCGTGGTTTTTTTTTCTAGTTATATTTTCTTTAGGTTTAAAATATTTTATTTTAATGTTGTTGTTATAATACAAATAAAAAAAATAGATAACTCACTGTAAAATTTTGTTTTTAAACGTCCATTGTACCCTTAGCACGAACCATTATCGAATTCGAATAGTTTGCGAGTCCGAAATGTCATTGTCAAATTTTGTATGAAAACTTGAACAGCGGCGCCATAACGTACGTAACGGGAACTAAAAATCCGTACACATTTGACAATGACATTTCGTACTAGCAAACGATACGAATTCGATATTGGTTCGTGCTAAGGGTACTGAAAAGGCATACTAACTTTATTGTTACTCCTTTTGCAAAAGTTCACAGACGCATGTTTCAAGCGGGTTCAACTCACGCTCGCAGTGGTCCCAAGCGATCCGAGATATCGTATCCGTGAGCGATGTCTGAGGAGCTCGATGGCGCAAGTGGTAAGCGCGATCGTTAAAGTTAAGCAACTTTTGCAGTGGTCGGTCATTGGATGGGTGACCAAAAATTCACTATCTCGAATTCCTCCGTGCTTCGGAAGGCACGTTAATCCGTTGGTCCCGGCTGCATCTGCAGTCGTTAGCACCCACCAATCCGCACTGGGCCAGCGTGGTGGATCATGGCCCAATCTCCCTATTCCATCCATAGGGAAGGCCTGTGCCCCAGCAGTGGGGACATTAATAGGCTGATGATGAGCGATGTCTATGTGTGCGTTGCTCAAGCGCACTTTGTATGTAAATTATCATCTGCACTATCTATTTTGTGATTATTATGCATCAATATGAGACAAAGCACTTCATCAATCTTACTTCGTTACCAAATCGACGCAATATTTTCGTGTTAAACTTTTTGAAGTTATACTTCTTTAGGCACGTTATGAAAAAATGATGAGAGTGAAATTTTAAGATACGCGCGCATCACTGTAACACAAAATTTTAACAGCGACCAACTTCATGCGTTACTTTTGTGTGCGGTAAGCACATTAAGGAAATGTACCAACAAAATAGAAATAGAATCTCTATTTAGTGGGTGCTAACGACTGCATTGTGAAGGCCTATCAAAAGTATTTATTAATCTGGAACAACGGAACCAAAGCGCGATTCAGGAGACTACAGCGCCATCTCTTGACCATTGGTGTAGTAGAACCAAAAACCACATCTTTATTTTTTGTAATAAAGTAACAGTTATAGGTATTCATATTTATAATATTTATCCACATGTTTCTAGTTTGTATATTCGGAATACGTGTTTGAGTTTCATACAAGTGCAAATCACATATGTTCTAATAAATTATATTCACTAGCGATTTTAATTGAATATTTTGATTATTTATTATTTTTTCAAATTAAAACTGAACTTTATTGACTGTGTCCTTTTCCAGACTTTTTATTAATTTATTGTAATTAATTATTTGCATGCAATTAAAAACTAATTTTAAACGATGCCAAAGAAGGATAACTTCTCACGCGCCTACATAAGTACACGCACCCATTTTTTTTTAAGACCGAAGTTCCTGCCCGAAGCAAATAATATAATTGACTTGCCAAACTACTAAACATCACAATAGCTTAGCGTTGATATACACAAACTTAATTGTTTTCTTTTAATACAATCCTAATGATTTGCTTTGTAACACCGGTAAGTATTCGAAATAACATTGTCACGCAAAATAACCAATTGGAAAATCAAAATTGAATTAAAATAAATACTTGGGTAGTTAGGTGTGGTCCATAAAGAAATAATAAATTCAGTCCTCGTTTTAATCTCATCTTTTAATAAACACGAGTTGAAAACTTAGAGGTACCTATTCCAGTCAGAAGGCCCCACGGGGGGAGACTTCTCTCCGTTTGGAGCCTGTAGACCACTCAAACCTGAGGAGGCGGCTCTTTGTAACTCGGACCTCTCCTCTAGTCAGCGTTTTTAAGTAGGTTTAACCAAGTAGGAATCCAAAGGACTATATCGAAACCGTGATCAAAACAGCTTCACGCAAACTCGGAGTCCTGAACAAGGTGCGGCGTTTATTCACGCCCGATCAGATAACTATGCTTGTTGTACAAAACGCAAGTGTGGTCCTGCGTGGAATATTGCTCGCACCTCTGGGATGGCTCCGCTAAGTACTTACTCAATGCCTTGGATAGGTTGCTGCGGCCCGCTGCCCGCAGCATTGTCGATGAAGAGGTAACTAAGAAACTCAAGTCTCTACAATTACCCCGCGATGTGGCATCTTTAAGCGCATTCTACCGACTATACCACAGTGAGTGTTCTGAGGAGTTATTCTCCCTTATCCCTCCATGACCTTTTCTTCAGAGGATCACACGCACTTGCCTATGTGGCCACCGACTTACTGTGGCCACTATTCATACACGAACAAAGACATTTGGTGGCTCATTTCTTTGTCGTACTATTAGTAAGTGGAATTCTTTGCCCGCGCACGTGTTCCCTCTTTCCTGCAGTCTGGGGTCCTTTAAGAGAGGCGTGAAGAAGCATTTTTGCAGGCCGGCAAGGTGATGATGGTTGGCGTAGCAGTTTATAACTGCTGTACCAGCTATCTTCGCGTTTGGACTTTATCACCACTTAACACCAGGTGGGGTTGAGTCATTTGCCTACCTCGCTATAAAAAAAACAATTACCCATATAATAATTGAAATAGATGATAATGATTAGTTTTGGAGTTTACCCCTTAAGAATCGATTTGCATATTTATGGGGCCCGGTATGAGAAAAATGTGAGGAGTAAAATCTATCGATGAATGACATTAATGACCTCGTTACGTTTTTGTGCGCAACCTCATCTGCGCACCTTTCACTTTTAGCCATGGCAACGGATAAAAAACATTAAGTTGTCACAAATGTCAATAAAATAAATAAACTAAAAATAGATAAAATCGGAGCAAAATTAATGAAAACAAATAAATAACAGAATATAGAGAAATGCCGGTAAGTTTCCAGCACTTTGGAATAGTGATTTTCAGTACAGATGGAATTATAATACATATTTACAAAATGATGACTAGTGTGTGATATTCTTGAAATTGTGTGTTTTCAGAAATACATAATAAAATATATGATGAATATCGCTGATGTTAGATGATAAAATGTGTGACATGGAACCCCTATGATAGTCGAAACCATGGGACGATTCCTGAGGTATCTCTACTTGTAACCGACTTCTTCGGACTTGATTTGGATTTGTGTCTGTTCAAAGACAATCGTTTTTAGAGTGTAAACTCCGGCCGTGCGTCGGAGCTGACACACACATTTTTTTTTTATTTAAATGTACGTACATACCCGTTAAAAAGGTTCGGTATGCTGTAACAGAAGCTGGTGGTGGGGGACACGTCGTCATTTAAGATGGCCGCCGAATCGAAGCCCGGCGCAGTGGCGCCGCCCTCGCGGCCGTCCAGGGACTCTTCCATGTTCTAGTAGCTCTTCTTAAAACAATACAAATAAATAAATATTTTTAACATTCACACCAATTTAATCTAGTCCCAAAGTACTCCTAAAAACAATACGAATAAATAAATAGATAAACATTTCTAACGGAAACTATTAACCTAGTCCTAAAATACCATCAAATCGATCCTTATACCATAACCGAGCTCATGCAAAAGAAATCATGCTTAAATTCATATTTGTTTCTTAGGTTTTCACGCACATCACTCATTAAATAAAACTTGTTTTAACGGGCTAATGCACGAAACTTTATTTATTTATTGACGTTTCGCATTTCAATAAAAGTCTTTCGAAGGTAGCTCTACAAAATTAAATAAAAAATCAGTATTCTGACGATGCAGACCTGAAAAGCCTGCGAAACGTCAATAAATGAATAAAGTTTCGTGCATTAACCCGTTAAAAATAGTTTTATTCATTCTTAAATTCATTTATCGATTTAAGTAAAACCATCATAAACACTCTCAAAGAATATAATAAAGGCTAATAACTCACACTATAAACTCCATTCCTAAAACTACACTCTATTCAAATTTAACCATCTCTAATCTAACATTATCAAATCAACTAATACAAATAAACAATACAATAATAATAACTCACCCTAATGATAAATAAATAAATATTTCCAACACTCACACCAATTAGCCTAGCCCCAAAGTAAGCACTGTAAGGCTTGTGTTATGGGATGCTAGGTTAACGGATAGAATACATATACCTGTACATATCTATACTAATATTATAAAGCTGCAGAGTTTGTTTGTTTGTTTGTTTGATCGCGCTAATCTCTGGAACAACTGGTCCGATTTGAATGATTCTTTCAGTGTTGGGTAGTCCATTTATCGAGGAAGGCTATAGGCTATATTTTTATTTTTTTTCAAAATTAGGGTTCCGCAATAAAATTGCTATTTTGTAACACAAGGTGTAAAACCGAAAACCTATTTTTGCGTGCGCTGCAAAAACTATTGACAATAGAACAAAATGATGTACTACGGGTTTGTAGATCCCATTAAGACCTACATAAAATTCCGCGAGAACATATATCTAGCTATCATGGTTTAATCACAATAACCGATTTTGTGTTCAAAATAATTATTAAATCGTCTGAAGAAAAAAAAAGTACGTTAAATATGTATCGTAATATTAAAAACACAATACAACCCTTAATTTTCACCCCTCTACCACCCATATTTTTATGGCGATACGAAGTTCGCTGGGTCAGCTAGTATAAGTATATTTATATAGGCAAAACATATGTATTAAACATCCATGACTGGAGTACAAATGCTCGTATTCATCACACAACAATTTGCCCCCACCGGGATTTGAACCCGGGACCTCTCGAGTCGGCGACACCATGAAACCCGACGTACAAACCACTCGGCCACGGAGGTCGTCAAAAAATCAATGAAATGAAATGAAATGAAATGAAATGAAATGTCATTTATTCAGTCTAGGCTGTTACAAGCACTTGTGAAGGTCAAGAAGCTACGCCATCGGTTCGCAAAACTACGGCGGGAGACCTTGTACTGAGAAGAACCGGCAAGAAACTCAGCAAGGGCTGTTTTTTTCTCCCTGTATTGTTATATACAGTGTCGTCAATTTGAAAAATTACTTCAGAAATACGTCTGAAGTCACTTTCCATTACATCATCTAGAATATAAATAGTTACAATTAATTTTATAGTTAACATTTTAAGTAGTATATAGGAAGCGGCATTAGATAGGTACAATATTACTGTTATGAAAAATGAGTAATACCCATTTAATATCAAATTATAAGAAACACTATGTCCATGCATTACGATCATTTAGATAATCATCAACTTTATAATAGCCCTTATTCATAAGAGTATTTTTGATCTGAGATTTAAATTTAGTCAGTGGAAGCTCACTCAGATCTTGGGGAACTTTGTTAAACAATGCAATACTACAACCCAGAAATGAACCTCTTGATTTTTGGAGTCTGAAACATGGAATATAAAATAAAATGTAACTTGTAAAAGTCTCCAATATTTTTCAATCAAAATGTATTTAATAAATGTATCAAATAGCGAAAAACAAACATCCAAATGCTAAACCATCTAACTAATATTACTCCAATAAATGTTCTTTGGTAATTCTCCGGAGAACAACCACAAATAAAGTCTCAAAATACTCCCCGGGGTAGGGGATAGGGCCAGGGTAGGCAGCGGCGCGAGTGATATTTTATTTATCGCTAGCGTCTATAAGCTATGACGGCCGCTTACCATCAGTACCTTTAGTACGAGTTTGTGCTCACGAAAACTATCATATTTTTCCATTATGTCCATTTTGGTTTGAGTAACCAAATATACTTAAAATTTAAGAAGACGCAAATTTTAAGATAGAATGATAGAATTTAAACACTGTTTATTTGTATTGAAACGAAAACAATAAAATCCCCTTAGTACGAGTGCGAGCGCACGAAAACTATGATAGTTAGGGTACTGGAGACCACACTTTTAACATAAACAGTAAGCACTGTAACTGCTTGTGTTATGGGACACCCGGGTAACGGAGAGAGTACTTAGTACGAGTGCGAGCGCACGAAAACTATGATAGTTTTCGTAATTTTAAAACTCGTACTAAGGGTACTGTGCCCTTAGTACGAGTTTCATCAGTACCCTTATTACGAGTGCGAGCGCAGGAAAACTATGATAGTTTTCGTAATTGTAAAACTCGTACTAAGGGTACTGTGCCCTTAGTACGAGTTTCATCAGTACCCTTATTACGAGTGCGAGCGCAGGAAAACTATGATAGTTTTCGTAATTGTAAAACTCGTACTAAGGGTACTGTGCCCTTAATACGAGTTTCATCAGTACCCTTATTACGAGTGCGAGCGCAGGAAAACTATGATAGTTTTCGTAATTTTAAAACTCGTACTAAGGGTACTGTGCCCTTAGTACGAGTTTCATCAGTACCCTTATTACGAGTGCGAGCGCAGGAAAACTATGATAGTTTTCATAATTGTAAAACTCATGCTAAGGGTACAAGAGACCACACTTTTAACATAAACAGTAAGCACTGTAACTGCTTGTGTTATGGGACACCCGGGTAACGAAGAGAGTACATATATAAGAATACTTATCTAAATAAATATATAAACTTCCATGACTTAGGTAGAAATGCTCGTATTTATCAAACCAACATTTGCCCCGCCTGGATTCGAACCCAGGACCTCTGAGATCCATACCAATGTTACATATAAATGCTAAAGTGTGTGTCTCTCTGCCTGTCGGTTTCCTTTTCACGCTTAAACAACTGAACCGATTTAGATGAAATTTGATAAAGAGATTGTTCGAGTCCCGGGAAAGGACATTGAATAGTTTTTATTCCAGAAATCTTCTTACAAAGCGGTGAAAAGGTGGATAGTATGAGAAACCAATTAAATGACGCAGACGAAATTGTGGGCACCCGTTAATATATTTATTAAGTTATTTATGTAAGTGTGGGCACCCGTTAAGTTATTTATGTAATTTGAAAGATATTTTCGAAGGAGCTCGATGGCGAAGGTGTCTCCCTATTCCATCCACAGGGAAGGCCTCTGCCCCAGCAATGGGGAGATTAATAGGCTGATGATGATGAACTTGAGAGATAATGTATCTCGGATAATTGGAGTATTATGCCTCCACGGGAAAGGGGACGGGGTCAGGGCAGAAACCGCGCGAATGATATAATATCTAGGATCGTCTTTAATTTTTCAAATGAAAAAAAAGCGTAGAAAGTAAATACATATTAAATGAATTATATTCATTATGAAATATAACAACATCATTTTATTTTAAAATACTGCGAGCAAATTTTCTTTGTAACGTAAAAAAATATGAGTATAATAAATAGGACTAGCTAATTAATATTTCCAGTTGTTCTAGAAAAGCTCCGTTTCTTCATTATCTTGACCAAGAATCGAACCCGGGGCCAAACGCGAATCTTGATAACATAAAAAATTACGACCTTCCTTTGTCGAAATCTTCTCTCTCATTAAAACACCTTTTAAAAGGTCAAAAGAAAACCTATTAAGACGAAATGTAAACGATATGAAAAGTTGGAGAAGCCAACCAAAAATTTCCAAAGCAATGGTCATGTATCAAAAATTACCCCGGACATTATACTGACTCAGAAGGGTGATTGACCGCGCATAACTTACGCCGAGCGGTGGCTAACGGCACTTAAATTGAATTAAATGTCTATAATTTAGTTAAGTTTATTAAATTACCACTAAATGAGGATAATTTGTGGCGGTTATTTCCATTTACAACGTCAGTAGGGGGACAGTTTGGCGGGCGCGTCGCAATCGACGCCATGTTTTCGCGGCAACTTTGACACCTTGTCAAAATTTCTGACAGCCACAGTGTCGCGAACGTAAGGAGGTGATTATTTTTCTAGGAAGTAATTTTTTTGTGTGGAAGTTCTCAGAATATTTGTGTTCGAAGAGTCTTTATTCGTGTTATAAAAATACATTATTTAACGTATTCAGTAAGTTTTTTTCTGCGAATGAAAAATACAGTTTGAAGATTGATAATATTAGTGCCAGAGCTGTTTTATTTTTTGGTATTCCGTATTAAATAGAGGTGAAATGATTGATAAAAACGTATATTATTCTCGTATTTTTTTATATGAAGACTAACACTGTTGCCGGGTAAGGTGTCACTTCTTAGCTATAACAGCGCTGAAACATGGGATTTCATCTATTGCACGTCCAAAACTCGGACGTTTTGACTACGATATTGTCTACCAGCCAAAATTGAAGTTTGAAGTAGAAAATATTTTAAATTCAGACTTTAAAACGTCGCCAAATGTGATTCGTATAATGGTACAGGATTCAATTTTGGAAATATTTCAATTAAGATTTGTCACTAGTATTGGTGTCGATTCTGGCATGATTCTCTAAAGCTAAACTTAAATTTGACAATATTGTATCTCTGTCATTCTCTGTACAGACTAAA